CACCACCTTTGTTTCCCTGTTTCAATAGGTTCTACAAGAAAAACAGGGCCAAAGTTTGAGCTGGTGAAATATTATGCGCCCCTCCCTCCAGGACAAGATGCATAGAGTGCTATCAGCCATATTCATTCTATTCTTCCTTGGTTGCCATTTCTTCCGACTCACAACACTCTAAGCCTGAACTTCAAACATTTTTAGAGGGTTTAGTCTCGGAAACTAGCAAGGATTTCCACACAGAAGTGGAGGAACTGTGAGGATCAAACACAAGACTATTCTTCTGTCACATGATTAAAAACAGGTGTTGTTTGTAGTTGTCACAAATATTTATGTGTGCACTATGTAGAAGTGAGAGGCACAAGGGTAAATACAGTACAAGACTATTCTATTCTGGGTTATATGGCAACCATTCTACCTCAACCTTTCTATTCTATGCCAACTTGTCTACATTTTCCTGTTTTACAAAAGTATAATAAATTCTTCAAATCACAGACACAGGGTAAAAATCTGAGGACCTGAAGGACAGTGACCTTAGTAGAACTCCTACATGGCTCCTTCCTCCCCATGCAAGCTTCTGAGATCTCATCTGATGTTGCTGTTTGGCTCAGCAATTGGCGCTGGGCTGGACTTGCCAGTGGAAGGGACTGTCGGCAAGTCCTAGCATCCAACTCAGAGCCAAACTAGATACACTGATAATTGCATGTAAACAGTCAACATGCATCAATGTTTGAAAATGTAAAGTGTCATGGTGGTGGCAGGAAGGAGGACAGGATTTGGACTGTGCCATAATAAGAGGTTAACACTTTTCCTCCTCCATAATCCCCAGGAAAGTCTCTCTCTCTCTCTCTCTCTCTCTCTCTCTCTCTCTCACACACACACACACACACACACACACACACACACACACACACACCCCACCACACCACACCACAACTGCTATTCATACCTAGAAGAGAAGCTCCCTTTGAATGCAATGCAGGAAAATGAGCAAGAACAAAAGCATGAAAAGCAGCCACACTTAATCATCAGATTCTTCAAGTGCATCTGAAGAAGTGGGCTTTGGTTCATGAAAGCTTATGCCAAATACAACTTCTTAGTCCTAGAATTACCAGAAGATTCTTTGTTGGTTTTGCTTTTGCTGCAACAAACTAGCACAGCTACCTCCTCAATAATCAATAGGGTGGGGACTCTTTTATAAAAACAAATTTAAATACCCCAATGATGAAAAAGTCATTGTGTAGACTCTGCTTCTGTTAGGTAACTTGTTATTTCAGTAACAGTCTGTTTGCCTTACATTATGTATTCACACACACAATTGTGTACCTCAGAGCTTGAATGGTAAAGGTTGGCTCAGGAAAACGGAGGGTGTCTACTTTTCCACATTTAACCGGCCTAGTCAAGACAACATCATCAGGTTTTACTGGCTCACAGCATGCAATTGAATGCTCTGTATTAAACAAATACCTTCAGCTGCTCAAACACTTAATTAAAATGGCGAAGTGACTTCTTTCAGATTGTACTAGTCAAAAAAGGAGCAGCCTGAGGGAAATACCACTGAGTCACACACTGCCTTTTTCTTTGTGAAGACTTTTTTCTCCTTCATGTTGCAGAGTTTTCAATATTTGGTTCAATTCCTCTAGCTGCACAGCAGATGTAGAGATTCACAGAACAGAATGGTTTCAAGTTCCACAGATAGTATCTTAAAAAACAGAGACATCACCTTGCCAACAAAAGTCCAAATAGTCAAAGCTATGGTTTTTCCTGTAGTGTTGTATGGAAGTGAGAGCTGGACCATAAAGAAAGCTGACCACCGAAGAATTGATGCCTTTGAATTGTGGTGCTGGAGGAGGCTCTTGAGAATCCCCTGGAATGCAAGGAGAACAAAGCTATCAATTCTAAAGGAAATCAACCCTGAGTGCTCACTGGAAGGACGGATTCTGAAGCTGAGGCTCCAGTACTTTGGCCATCTCATAAGCAGACTCCCTGGAAAAGACCCTGATGTTGGGAAAGAGTGAAGGCAAGAGGAGAAGGGGACGACAGAGGATGAGATAGTTGGACAGTGTCATTGAAGCAACCAACATGAATGTGACCAAACTCTGGGAGGCAGTGGAAGATAGGAGGGCCTGGCATGCTCTGGTCCATGGGCTCACAAAGAGTCGGAGATGACCAAACGACTAAACAACAACAACAAAGTTCCACAGATTAGTCTATCCCCTTTTCTCATCAACTGGCACTTCAATTCTCAATAAATCACTCAGACATTATTGATAGAAAGAATAAAAGCATTTCATCTGCTTACAGTTAACAGATAACAGGAAACTGAAAACAAACATGACAGCTTGCAGCAACAGACTCCTGACTGCCAACAGACAAGGAAAAGGGCTCTGAGCAGAGAGGTGGAGCTCTCTTTGAAATCAGAGGCAGGGAAAGAACAACTGGTTACTGCTAGATAGATTGCTAGTCACCCTGGCCTAGAACGGTCCCTCCCAACCAAACCTGCTTAAGGCAGCATGTAAGCTTTTCATTTTCATTTTGATTAACCAATGCTTGTCATGTCTTGGTTTATGAAACTGTTTGGTTTCCACTAACCATAGTCAATATTAACCACAGTTTAGAGTCTCAATGACATGCTAAACCATAGATAATCCGATTTGAGTTCCCAAATATGGAAACTATAATTTTAAGCTGTTCACTACTTCTGTTATATATCTGCTCAGGTCTCAGCTTCTAAAGTCTGGTCTTATTTCTGCAGTGTTGCAGTCTCTTAAGACAAAACTATGATTATAACAACAAACCACAGCACAAACCAAATATGCTTCAAACTGTAGTTTCATACCAGTTTCTCAACCTCAAACCAGTGGCTACCTAGGCTTTTTAATTTCCTTTATCAACTCATTCAATAAATGACCATTGCATTTGCCAAATGACATTTCACCTTTGAACTCAATCACTAGTGGAAGTCCCACATCCAAACCCCAATTTGAAACATGGAAATCCAATAGCATTTCACTAAAAATGCCATCAATCATGTGATTCACATCAAAGAAACCTCTATTTGTGGGCAGACTCTGGTTCAAACTTTCAAATCACAATTTCACTAAATGAAATTATGTTTAGTTGTTAGTTTTCAGGACAACCCTATTGCATATTAACAATTTAATGCAACTGTAAAGCACAAAGTAATTGATTATGATCCAGATAAGCTGCTGGATGATCTTGGTGAGGTACAATAATGCACCAACTAGATCCTAGGGCCTGCAAGTCCTTTGCTAATAGCTCCTACAAATAGTAGCTGAGGTGATTAAAGCTATTTCACAAATATACCAGTTCAAACCAGAGACAGGGGGAATCATAAGACTGAAAGCTTCCAAATGATAAACTTTTTTGAGCATTCAAAACTATCATATAGAGCAAGTCATATAAGAAATCTTCTTCCCAACGTTTTGTTTTATCAACACAAGGAGTTTTAAAGTACAGTGGTACCTCGACTTACGAACGTCTCTACTTACGAACAGTTCGAGTTACGAACTGCTCTGGTCACAAAATTTTGCTTCAACTTGCAAACAGAGCTTCAGCTTACGAACAAAAAAACTTTCCTGCCCTTTTTTTGATCTAAGTTCATCTTAAGTCAAAAGAAGAATTTTTTTAAAAAACCTCCCCCTAGTGGGAGGGTACAGATTAACCGGCTTTGCAATAGTTCCTATGGGAACTACTGTAATGCCTCTACTTGCGAACAGCGCCTCGACATAAGAATGCAAAACAACCGGAACGGATTAAATGGTTTTCAGTGCATTCCTATGGGAAATTTTGCCTCGACTTACGAATGTTTCGACATATGAATACGGATTAAGTTCGTAAATCGAGGTACCTCTGTAATACATTGTATGCACAAAATAGGTGGCGAGATAATCTTTTTCTCTTTATTCAAGTGAACAGTAATAACTGGTTGAATTTAATAGAACTACGCCTGTGCTGTGCTGGAGCTAAATGTTTACCTTGGGCTAGATTATTTCCGTACTTCGGGGACAATCAGGAGGAGGGTGCTCAAAATCTAATCCAAAATCAACAGCTGCAATCCTGACCTGTCAACCACTCCACTACAGTTTCAAATGAGAGTGCGTCAAACATAACCCTGATACTTGTCATGGAAAAAACGTGTCCAGCTATTGCATCTCCCATATGCTTTATTTGTTGCTTTTGCACATACTTGCTGGCTATGTCTCAACAATAAAATGAGTTTAGGTAAACACAGTAACAGTCATATCAAACCTCATTACCCAAACTATTTATTGTTCCATCATGAGTTAATGTAATCAACTCTTTTTCCTATAGGAATTTATTTATTATTTATTTATTAGATTTCTATCCCGCTCATCTAGACCAAAGGTCTACTCTTTGTAGCATTCTTCTCCTTATGCCTAAATGCTACCAGAAAACCTATTCTGAAGAAGAGTCTATGACATATATGTTCTGTGACTAAGAAAAAAAAATTCATTAGAAGTCATCAACTGAATAACAGCACAATCCTTTACATGTCTAATCAACGTATTGCCTGCTTTGTCCAATAGAACTTGAACTCATGTCAATGGGCAGATAACTGTAGCCTTAAAAGCAAACACAAGATTTTGCAATTATGATGAGCCTTTTCCCACTATGTACTATTTCCATTATTCATTCCCAGTTCTTTATTTGCATATCTATTTTAATACAGCTGACAAGTTCAGTTTAAATTCATGCTCTCCAGTTTATTTTCCAACAAATACAAAATTATCAGCTAGACATTTCAAAAGAATGATTGGCAAGGTAGCAGTTTTATTTTAGACAGATAAACAATTATTTCAATAAATTTTATAGAATCTTATGATGCTGGATTCATGCAAATATTTTGCCAACCAAATACATTAAGCAATGTCTCCACCCCCCCCCCAAGACTTGGGCAAACCGTGAGTTCTCAAAACACAGCTAAGATCTTCCCCACACAGCTGCCTATATATTTAGCTACTTACAGAGCAAATGGGCAGAGTGAAGCCCACTGTGTAGAGGACAGTGGATGTGACGGTACTGTCATGGAACGGGTACTTGATGCTGTCATCATTACAGAAAAAGCCCCTCTGATACGGCTTTATTTTTGCCAAGTTTAGAACAGCAAGGGGTAAGCCAGCTGTTGGGGGAAGGGAAAAAAAGATACACAGAGTTACATACATAATTATATGTATATTTTATCAAGCATGGAAGAAACTACTGAGCAACATGCAAAACTCAAGAGTTTCCCCAACACAGGGGAGAGAATTCAGTATCATGCAATGCATACAAGTTGCCTGGACCACAAAGCCCCATGAAATGGTTGCTAGCAATCAGGCGTGTCAACAACAGCAGATATTAGAATGCTGCAGAGTTCAGACCCCTTGGAACCCAGAGGGATGCCTTCCACATGAGGTAAGCTATGAAATAAACTATTTAGATGCTTTTTAAATTTTGGGCTGATCACATGGGAATTAGCATAAGGAAAGGGCAAGAATCTGATACTCAAATAGAATGCAAGTCAAAACTGGAATGGCTGTGGGGAATGCATGAACTTTTTTTTAATGAGGTTTCAAAAGCCCCATTTCTTTTGTTTAAAACATCCTTTCCTATTCTGGTGCTCCCCAGAGGTGTTGAGCTACAACTCCCATGATCCCCAACCAGCACAGCTAGTGCTGAGATGGGTTGGACACTGCAGTCTCACACATCCAGAGGGCATCAGATTGGGGAAAGAGGACTCAGAGAGAGAGGTGACACCTGGGGTAATGGCCATTTAACATAGTTGAAAGGCAGAAGAACAATTTATCTTGCCAGGTAAGTGAAAACCCTTATGGTGCGAAAAATACGGTAAGTGAAAACCTGTTTCTCAAACCAATGTGGAAACATCACTAGTGAAAGAAGCAAGGGTCTGAGATGAACTCAAAGGTTATTTAGGATTTGTGTAATACTTGGAACCCATTATAGCTAAAAATTACAGTATTGCCATGAATGCTTTTTTTTCTCTTTTGTTTTCTCAATAATGTTGAGTCCCAATCCTCCAACCAAGTTGGTCAGAGAGCGGAAAACTTCTTTGCAGCTGTTACTACACTTCAACTGCAGTTTGAGAGGTTGAATGTACTTTCAAATCCCCATAAACTGAAACAAGATTTCTTTTGGACCCCTGGATTCTCTACTTCACATCTAAGGGTTGTATCCCCCACTGGGCTTCCATTCATGCAACAGAAGATGCTAGGGGAGCAGTGGCTGCTACTACTGTAGATACAGTGCATGTTATAAACTTGGACACAGAGAAATATTTCATATTGAAATAAACACAGCAAGTACGTTTTCCCTTCATAATTTTGGTATACCAGTATTACCACATCTGCAGAGAGGAAGATATTTATTCTGTAGTCAAAATGCCTACAAGTCTTGTGTTTGGGTGTTCTTGGCATCTGTAAGCATTTGACTTGGCTTGTCTATGAGAGCTCTCTACTTTGCAGGCATCTTGCTACAGCACCTCCTTTCAATCAATCTCTGGAGCTTTCTAGCATCATGCATGGGTTATGGATAGTGAGAGAGTAAAGAGGGTTATCCTACCCCTAAATCCGCCTTACACCCATATGTTTTACCACAATCACTCGACAGGAGCTGTACAACTTCTTTGCATACCCATCTCTTTATGAGGAATCACAACTACAAAGATAGTCTCTCCTCCCTTATTACAACATGGCATTTGTTCATAGAAGCAGTGGAGTTTCAATACTGAGGTGCAAGCAGAGAAAGACCCCATACAATTTTGTATACATTTTCGTATTGTCTTCCTGATATTTTTACATCTGGATTATCCAAACATCTATACCTCCCTTCTGCTGACACACTTAAAGCAGTTTGAGCTTTATAGTAATGGGTTATAAACTGAGTGACATGGTACCAAAGGGAAGGAAATTCAGTTTGAGCTTTATAGTAATGGGTTATAAGTGACATGGTACCAAAGGGAAGGAAATGAAGAGGAAAATAGAAAACTGGTAAATTCAGCAACCAACTTATGAAAATCAAATTGCAACCAGCTATGTAATTAAATTTCAAACATGTAATGTGACCAGATTCTAATGTCCATCCCCCCCAAAAAATGGAATATACACTCTATACACTCATTTCAAACCTACTTATTAGAATCTATGGATGCATGAAACCCATGATCCACATTATCTATAAGACGAAATAATGTCTTGAATTCCAAATTCTATACTTGGAATTAACCTCACAGAATGATACTTTCCTATCTCTCTTAGCAGCTCCATCCCTGCATCACCAACAAAAAGATGTCTTGGGGACCCCAATAAAACAGCATGTATGCGGTGTAGAAAATTTGCAGTGCAAATCTAGGAAAACCTGAGGGTAACTTGTATTGAAATTATGAATGAGACAAAAACTACAACTGAAAACAAAAGTTGAGTGCTGCAGAATCTGAAGACAAAAAAGCAGGGAAAATATAGTGCCAAAGCGCAAGCTGTGAGAATTAAACAAACAAGGCGTGAACGCATAACTCACAGCAAAGTTCTTCAAAACCAGACTTGAAGAATGGAAAGTCAAGGAGATAGAAAACAAAACACAAACCTCAAAACATAAACATATGGAGTTAGCCTATGTCAAGACTCTGGAATGTTATCACCTAATTTTAAATTATCTAGCAGTTTACTTAGTGTTATGTATGCAAGGCCAAAAAAAGCGGGAACAAACTTTTTTTTAATGCCCAGTACTCTCTCATTTTAGAATACAAATGATTTCAATTCTCTATTAATAAATTATAACCGACTGCTGTAGCAACTGAATAGTAAGTAATTCAGAACAGAATGGCCTTCTATACCACTAAAAACTTAGTTCGCAGTTACTTTAATTATAGCTATAACTACATGGAAATACAAGAACTGGCAGCATGATCCAAAAAACTAGTTCAGCTTAGACTTAACACTATAGGCACTGAACTTTTCGGCAGATTTACAAGCTGAATTTAGGCATGTTTGGTCAAAAATTAATTCCACAGAGCAGAAAGATGCTTAGTCTCATGCAAACATAATGTCTGCAGGCTTAATCCCATTAATTCCTACAAGGCCACTCTTTTGGGTTACATGCAGTGTTCTATTTTAATAAGCATTATTCTGGGACTGTGGGGAAGCAGAGTACTGTATATTGAACTTGCTCTTCGACTGACATGCATATAAAGACAAACTACAATGGGTGTATCCAGAAGATGAAGTGGTTGTGCAAGAGGTAGACTTGCCCTCTCATTATGCACTACTTTCACTATGCCCATTGCTTCAGAGATGCCTCACATTTTAAGTCCTACCTAACTAACAATTTTTGGTTCAATTATATCCATACTCTTTGCCAAGTTACCACCGTCCTGGTGACACTGACCTGTTTTCATAAATTTTCCTCTGACCATAGAAGCCTTCTTCTGTGGATACAGAAGGAATAGGCAATCAAGTATAAGGATACCTGTTTTCCTTACCACCGTGTTAACAGTAATCTATAAAATGCATAGATTCTCACATGCAAATCAAAAAATAAAAGATGTCAATGTAACAGCAAGCACAAATTAGACCTTTGTCCAAGGGAAAGACTACATATTTTCAAGTCGGAGGGAAACACAGTGTTATGTTTTAGCTCTTTATCTTTCCTTGCTTCTTATTTTATGCAGAAAAAAGGATAACCAGTATTTTGTCTATTTTATTCCATTCTACTCAAGCAGCAGCCCTTTCTTCTTGCATCTCCATCTCACCCTCACATTTTATAAAAGTGAACCAAGACCATTATCAACCACAAAGTTTTTATCAGAAGAAGAGTTATAATAATAATAATAATTTATTGTCATTTTAAGTATATACACAGTATACCCATACAACGAAATTCACAGACACCCAGAGACCAGACACATGCACACACATAAAACTCCCCAAACGCCCCCCACCCACTAAAAGTCCCCCCCCCCCTAAAAATACAAACATCTACACTGCAGGCCAAGTAACACAGTCCAACTAATTATTCACTACTGGTGGTCTTTAAGCTCATTATTAATTGCAATTATAGCTCTGGGATAAAAACTATTCAGAAAACGTGTGGTCTGAGTCTTAATAGTTATACTACATGAGGAATCCTGTGTAAAACATAGTTGTTGTTGTTGTTGTTGTATTTATTTATTTATTTGTTATTTGGTTTATATACTGCCCATCTGGCAGCCAGGGCCACTCTGGGCAGCTTACAACAGATAACCAAATAACAAAATAACAAAATCATACAGTATCAATACAATTGGGGCATAAATCAAATATCATAAAGTACAATGAAAGCAAATACAATACAATAAATTACAATTAAAAATATAAAATATATACACATGACATGAATAATTTACTAGTTGAATTTACTTCCAGAGGACTTGGTAATGATCACTAGCTTAGATGGCTTTTTAAAAAAGTGGCTCTAGACCCACAGATGAAACCCTATTAACAATGATAAGAAGAGAGAGACTCGAATACAGTAGTAGTATGCCTCTAAGATACATTCCATCTGCATTAGCTAGGTACTACTGGAAACCCAGTACTTCACAACGGGAAAACAACACTGAAAAGAATTGGTGTGTGTGTGTCAAGCTATAATCCTAACAGTTTTCTCTCTGGGATTTAAACTGGCACAAAATACGTCCCAGTATAAATCCTAATTTAGACATTGGTGAGATCTGAATTGGCAGTCATTGACTAAAAAAGCTATATTGAGGTTACCATGTAAGCCTCACTGAAAATGCTAACCCAGGGGGCAATTACTATGAAAGGAAACAGCAGCAGCCACTGCCATTGTCCATCCAAAACTAACCTCTCCCAAACAGGTGTCTTCCAGATGTGCTAAACTACAACTCCCATCACCGCCACCCAGCATAACTGAATGGTGGGAACTGTAGTCCAATGAACCTGGGAGGCACCAGGTTAGAATAATACTAATCAGTAGACAGACTGCAAGCCTAAAGGAGTAGAAAGCAGATTCATATGGGATTGGGTGTTCAAAAACAAAAAAATCAATAAAATGCAATATTAAAACAATACTAAATAAATGAACATCCCTATTGAGAGGTATATTGCCCACTTAATCAGTAAACTAAGC